AGCTTTTTCATAAAAAGTCCGGATAAAAGTTTTTGGCAAATCAGTGAGACAGGAAAAAAAATCCTTGAAGTGGTGTTTTCTAGATATTTTGGCGTATAGAATACTGTGCACGTGCATTAATTTTATTGATGGCTTCTCCTCTCTGGTTGTTTTCTCAGTCTGAAAATCAGACAAATAGAATTTCAGAATCAGGATGTACCTTTCTTCTGTGTTCTCCTTCTTTTGACCCGTTCCTCAATACTGCCTTGGATTTGTTTTTGATAACGCCAATCTCACTGTCAGTCTCACTCTTTCTTGGGCCGAGATAGGTATGAGTTGGCTGCATCATAATTAAGGAGCTATCAGAAGTTACTTTTTATTTTAATATTTGAGATATAAGGGAAAACATCAAGTTTATCTGAAGGCTTTAAGGTATATAAGTAATAAATACAAAATAAGCAAACCTCTGTGCGTATAGATAGGTTGTCCTGACTTGTGCTTAGATCATATATGAGTTCTAGTATTTGTGTAACTCTTAGTCCAAAGCGACTTCAGGATGTGTGTGGATGACACTGAGAAATGCAAGTGCTGGAGCTGAAGAGTACATCATTTGCCTTGGGATACAATCTCCCTTGTCAATATATGATCCCTTGCTGTTGCTTTTTGAACATTTCGTGGTCTTGCCAGGGGTGTTTGTCACGTGATGCAGCAGTCTGTGTCAGGGACTAATGGAAAAATCAAAAGAGCGGTAGTGATGGGCTGTAGAAAGTTAGTGAATCTGTAGGTGGTAGTTTTGCGTAGAGGACACATGGAAAACAAATACTGTTTACCAAAAAATGCTTCTATAATTGGTTTAAACATATTGCATATGTTCACCCACCATGTCTGCGTTTACATAAAAACGAAATCGATGAAGACCCAGATCGTGAAATGTAAAGGGCAAATTGAGAAATGTCAGTTTCCAGAAACTGCAAGGAAGAAGAAATTTCTCAAGCAGTTTAACAAGGTTAGGCCTACCTATTAAAGAAATTGGTTCTAAAGTGTATTCATCGCTTTGCATCTGAAGAGAATTTCAGTCTGTAAGCGTTCTGGCTTCCATTTACAGCATGAAAAATTTCTTTGAGGTGATGGTGATGGAGACTGACCTTACGATTTTGGAAGTGTTTTCACGTTCTAAATACAGTACTGAATTTCCTTCTCTAATAAAACAAAATGGTGGTATGATTTTAGTATTCCGTTTCATGGTCTCTGGTACAAGCATGACTGTTAACAAGCTCTCGGATCGGGATATCATAGGAGGCCATCATCAGGTATCATTGAAAAGTAAGTAAAGGTTAATTGTACTTAGGTCAGCCAAGAGAGATTCATGACTCCAGGGCAGCTGCGAAGGTCTCGATGTCAGTATTTCTCCTTTTTTCAAACAGTGAGACTAGAAAAAGCAAAGAGAAAAACCATACAAGGCACTACTGCTGCAGTTAAGCTTTTAATTGTCTTGTTAAGGAAAGGGATTGTGTTAACACTTGAGAATGTGGAAAACAAAACCATCTGAGTAATTCTGAACGTAGGTGTAGATACGGGTGAAAGACTAGGAGTTCCAATATTGGTTTTGCTTTATTATTGAAATGGGCATAAACCTTAGCATCTGGGCTGTATGGCAACAGGATGTCCTTCATCGCTTGGCGTGTGTCTCTATTGTTTAGAAAAGTCTGGAATTCTTTTTGCGACTCATCATGAATGTTGATGTACCAAAGAGATGACCTTCTTATTCCCCCTTGATGGTTCATCTCTGCTCATCAGCAGCACTGTATTTTCACAGATATTATCAACTACAGTTAGATACCAAAGCATTGTCTTGTGCCTGAAGAGCTTTCTAAGAGCTCTTCAAAGCTCCATGCTTCAGAGTGGGCGTTGGCGTGCTTGGAACCCTTCCGGAGGTGGACTGGGCGGTGGGAAGGCCTGTTGTTCTGAGCCCATGGCCTTTTCACTGGGAAATCTGGTGGTGGCACCATTTCATTTGCAAAATAGGGTTTTGGTGTAGGTGATGTGAGTGTTTACTGGCTCTGAAGATGAGTTAAGGCTCTGGTGTGCGTGGTGGCGACAGATGCTCAGAGGTGATTTCCAGCAGTGTCTTCCAAAACAGGACTCTAAAAAGTGATGTAGGTAATTAGGAGCCAAAAATCTCAATAATAGGTCAAACTCCCAGATCACTTAAAAGCTATTTATGCCAAGCTTCTGTTGACACCCTTTGATCCTAAAAGCACTCATCACTTGCATCATATTTCAGTTGCTAGTAACATACTGGATTCCTTTTTATATCCGGTGATGCAAAACTCAATAAGAAACTTTATTGCGACTGAAATAATGTAGCAAAGGTTCTACCGGTGGTCACGATAGCTTTTAGTAAAAACTGCGTTAGGGAATAACTAAGCAGAACAGAACTCTGAAGTTCTGCCTCATCAGCGTAGTTAAAAATTGGTAGTAGTAACATCAGGGTAGTTAAAAAATGGTAGTAGAAAAAAAAAAAAAAAAAAAAAAAAAAAGGTCAAAAAGCAAGGAGAAGATACATATGTACATATGTGTGTGTATAGGTATATTTTTAAGAATCCTTTTCCCTTCATTCAGTAGGATGTCAAGTTTCAGTGTAGTAAGTCATTTTGGTAGTTTTCCTTCAGATTCTTAGGAACTTGCATTCCATTCTTCATTTACCGTTCTACTTTTAGCCATTTTATTTTGCTTTGTTAGAGGACTTGCCTTTTATTATTGTGTGTTGGAATATCATCACTATTCCTTTTCAAAACTGCATATTTTACGTTGTCTGTATTTCCTCAGATAGGAGTTATCTTCATGTATTGCTGAAAACCAAGCTGTGCCCTGTCAACAGCAGAATATCTCGGGGGGTTTTCCAGATTCTGGAAAATGGGAAGGTTTGATTCATCCTCTTCATAAATTATTTGCCACTTAATCAGAGGTTTCAGTTTTAATTAGTGCCTTTTTAAACAAGTGGAGGGATTGAATCAGAATACTTTTTAGTGTTGAAGTCCCTGCTGCAAAAAAAGGTCCAGAATTCTCCCCCTCCCCCAAATGCTGATCTTTTATGAGATTTAACTCAAAACGGTGACTGTCCAGCTGTGGTAATTGATCACAGGGGATTTTGATCTTGTAACCAAATTGTTGCCCAAAAAAGTGATTTTTATTTCCGATAGGTGTTAGGAAGTTTTGAAATTCTTGGGAAACTCAAATACATCAGTTGAGCTGAGTATTGGACACATGTAAACTAGTAAAACTCTTCCAGTTCACCCTTTAGTGAAACAAGTTTCACATTAGGTTTTGCGTGTGTTTGACAAAGCGGCTAATGCTTGGATAGCTAATGCTTGGCGCTCCATTGCCAACTCTGAAGCATGGCAAAACTGTCCTTAAGGCAGCGTATTCTGTTGCTCCTCTTCCTTTCAGCGTTTGGGACTAATCAGCTCTCTCAAACTGAAACACTGACGTAACAACACGACAGAAACTTCCCTCACAACTGACAGAAACATCTGGCAGGCCAGCGTGTTAAATCATCATGTCAATAAAAAAGGACCTTTTTAATGGACTTCATGCGCACTGAAGCAAAGGAGGTCTCAAGAGCTCTCCAGTGCCTTTTTGGTAGGTCAGACCTTGGAAAAGCCCTTCAGGCACAAGGCAGTGCTTTTGTGACTAAGAAGTGAGTCTTTTCTGTAGTTTATTACAGTATGCATTTGTAGAATATTGTAAATACTGATTTTACGGTTGTTTTGTCTGTGCTTGACTTGTGCAATATTCAGTAGAGAAATATTTGTGTATAAAACGGGATTTTGTTTCATTAGGCATCCATGTAGTACTCTACAGATCTGTTAAGACAGTTGATAAAGTGTTAGCCTGGTGCTCAAAGTCAAAAGAATAAAATGCAAATTTAATCTTCTCTCTAAATTGCTCCCTGTTTACTTGCATTAATGCATCAGGTGACTTCTCTGTTATCTCAGTTATATTTTACCTTGAGGCTTATGTTGAAAGACGAAAAACTGACCTCTGGAAATGCTTTCTCCTGTGGTTTGCCTACTACATTTCAAGCCTTCCTTTATGTATAATTGAATAGTTTCAGGTTAAGTTATAATTTAATTACTTTAGCTAAAGAATTCCCCATTTCTTCCAAGATGCACGCAGCATTACAGTATCAGTTACTCTCTGCCTTCTCCACAGATACGGTGCCTGTGTCTCTGGCCTTCTTGCTAACACAAGACTGTTGATTTTTGAAACAGATCTGCTGTGGATGCCAAAAAAAGAGATTGAAAATCGGTTCCTGACCCGTAGCTCTTGGGCAGTGGAGAGGTGACCGAAATGAATGCCTGGCGCTCATACTGTTCTTACCATCCTTTAGGTCCTACTAAGGAACCTTTGCAATGGAAAGCGTTACTTCAGCTTGTAGTAGCTGTTTTGCGCAGTGGCAAGCATGTGAGAGTGGAAGTATAAGTGAACCAGAACGGAACAGAAAAGTTGTAACTTGGTGAATTTGTTCTTCCTGCAAGCCTTCGCACTGGATGGTCTTGGGGCAGTGCCAGGACCGGCGGGGGGGGGAGGGCCGCCCCCCGCCCCCCGCCACTCTCTGCAGGCTGGTCCATCAGCCCAAACCTGCTCCGCTCCGCTCCACTCAGCCGGTGTGCCGGATGGGGCCTCATGCTGATGCAGCCACCAGCCTGGGCAGGAAGCTTGTGGGCAGCAGGACTTGAGCTGCCACAGTGAAGCTCAGTGGAGAGCACCCACACGTGGCCTAAATATTTTGTGTTTGGTCACTCTGGACCCTTTTGCCCTTGGCTGTCTTCTGTGAGGCCATACTGACCTCAGAGAGCTAACCTGGATGTATGACTGATTTGCAGAGAGAGCTGGAGGGCCTAAAGTTTGGGGGCTGTGATCCCTATAAGATAGGAAGGGATTAGGCCTGATAGCTCTGCTTGTCCTCCTGTGTTAGAGGAAGGTACCTGACCCCACACCTTTCATGTCAGCCTTACCTTCAAGTGTCCCGTGTGCATCTGGGCTCGCTCACACATCTGAAGGAAGTACTTCACATTGGTCTCATCCACAATGATGTAGACTCCCACTTTCCTCTTGAAGCCCGCGTCCAGGAGGTCCTTGAAGATGTCTACGTCAGTGAACATGTCCATGACCACTGCGATGACCTGCAGAGAGGAGAAGAGGTGAGTTCAGATAGCGTATCACCCTTGTCTTGTGCATAACTGAAGCAAAGCACTCTCTTCCTAGGAAGCTGGAGCTAGGTCTTGGTTTCTTTAGCTCCGACGCTGTGAGTTTCTTCCTCCCGACCTCATCAGCATGTCCTAAAATGCTGAGGGTGAGACCGGCACCTCACAGAGGTGAGGCCGGTCTGCAGTGCTTGGTCTCTATGTGCATTTCTGCCTCAAATGACAAAAGCTGCAGGTTCCTTTGATCTCACAGTAAAAATCTATCACCTTGACCCGAAGGCCAATGCATGCTTAGCTGTGAAAACACCCTGAGATGAGTCACTCTGCCACATCCATAGCACCCTGCTGTCCTTGTGTCCAGGGCTGGCCTGGAAGGTCCCGTCTCCTGTGAACATATGAGCCTCTGCAGGGACACGCAGGTCCCGGTGTGAAGCCCAGCTTCCTGGAGAGCAGAGGTGCCGAACCAGGGCCACCTGCTAGAAAGTGTTTGCGTTTTAGGCTAATGAACCTTCCTGCAATTCATAACTTTGTATGCCTGAATATGCTTTTGAAAAGCTGATTTTTCTGAGGCAAATCTAATGTTCTTGCCTTTACCAAGCACCGTAAATTTCGGAGTCCTGTTTCTAGCTGAGAAGCTTTGCCTCCCTTTATTATACATAATGCCCATAATTCCTGTAATGGGGAACCTCGGAAGAAAAAACGTTCCTTTCTGCTCCAACACCTGTGTCAGGCTGCGAGCATGTTGTGTGGCCAGATCCCCCATCGTCAGGCATCCTTGCTCTCCCTGGCAAGATCTCTTGCACACTTGTGTTCAGAGAATCAGTATAAATGAGAGTTAAAAGCAGCTGTAAGCTTGGTAGAAAGTCTCAGGGCACCCCTGGGGCACATTCAGGAGCTGAAATGACTTTTAATACCTTTTAAAAAACCGGCTTGTCTGCAAGTTGAAAATAGCTAGCAGGTTCCCAGTGATTGCAACCAGCCGTTTGCTTAAATCTATGCTGTTGATTTTAGGGAGCGTTGCTGTTAGGAGCTGCGTGGTTTGATTCACGTTGAACTATACTGCTAGAGAAGTGCTTTGTGGACCAGATGGCATTTCTCGCATCGGGGAGGCAGTGCTGGGCTGCCGACGTCTCTCCGGCTCTGTCGCGCCGTGCTGCCCAGCTCTTCTGCCGCTCGGAGCTCCCCAGGCTGCTTCGGATGCTGCTTCTGCCATGCAAACGCCCCTCTGAGCACCTCCTCCTCCTCACCCAGGGCTTGCAAAGCCGAGCAGAGCTGCAGTGAGAGGAAAGCACCGGGGCTGTGGGGCCCCAGCAGGGACAGGGAGACCCCCGTGCTCTGCTTCCAGCTTTGCTAGGCAAACGGCACCGTCATCATCATCGTCTCAAGGCGTTAGGACGTAGGGGGTCTGCTGCCGCGGTGGGGTTGGGGCGAGCCTGCTGCTTGATACAAGAGCATATCTGCGCGACACGCAGCCGCGCTGGGGTTTCACCGGGAAAGGCTGCCTAAGCACCACTGTTCACTCTGCACCCGCAGATTTTGCCTTCCTGGAGATGGCCTCGCCGATGAGCGCATGAAAATGAGCTGTAAAACCCTGCGGCAGGCAGGGAGCGGGGCTCTGGCGCAGACCCCTCCTGCGAGCTGTGTGTGCTGCCCGAGGGGGAGCGGCTGGAGGCCTCTGCCTGTAGCCCGACAGAGCATCTCCGTGCAATCCCGGGGTAGGAGCAGGGCAGCGGCAGCTCCGCACAGACCCCAGCGGCGGCTCCGCGCAGCCCCCCAGCCCTGCCTGCCTTCCCTGCATTCGGCGCGGGGCTGTTGCAGCCTCGCAGGTCTCCGAGCTGCAGAGCGGTTTGTCATCAGTCTGCCGGGGGCACTTCGATGCCGTGACCAGGGCCTGGAAACTCTTTGGTGCCCCCAAATCTGCGGCGATTCCAGAAAGGTGCTGCTGTGGCTGGGGCGAGAAGAGCCTTTGCTTTGCATCCGTGGGTTTCTCAGCCCTTAGCCCCTCTTTAGTCCTCCCTGCGTGGGATGATAGAGGGAGACCTCTCAGGCGCTCCTCCCACAGGAGCGATGGGATCAGATGCCTGGCGCTCTCACACGCAGGCTCCTCTGGTCCAGGGATCTCAAAGCACCGAGCTGCCTTTTAATTAGTTTTGTGCCATAGGAGCCCTGGGAGGGAGGTGGCGAGCTGTAATTATTAAGAGCGCTGCGCGTTATGACACTGTCGGCTGCTCGCTTCCTTTCCAAAGGCAAAGGGGCGAGGAGTCAGACCACGCGGAGAGTCTGTGCTGCTCCTCCCTGCCTGCGCCGCCGCCGAGGCTGCCTCGAACCCGCTCACCCCGGCCAGCTCATCTCACCTCTTTCTGGAGCTGCCAGGTGCCCGGGTGTTGCGAGAGGTGTCAGTGAGCCGGGCGAGAGTCGGGTATTTGATGCTGCTCGGGGATGCTTGAATCCTCTTCCGGCAGGAGCTCTGCCCGTGCCGGGGAGGAGAGCGAGGCCGCTGCTGGCTGGGGGGAGGGGCCGCCCCGGCCCCAGCGAGCTGTTACGGCTTGGCCAGGCTTCGCCCCGTGGTACACTGAGACGTTGCAGATGCTCCGAGTCGGGGTGAGAGACTCCTTGTTGGAAAGTCAGGCTGAGCAAAGCCAGGCAGGACAAGCAGCCCCCGGGCTCTGGTTTGGTTGCTGGTTCCTCACCCAGGTGTGCAGGGCCTGTTTCGCTGCAGCTCTGTCTCTACACGCCAGTCTTTAACCCCCCCGGCCTTGGAGGTGTTTTGCTTTCAGTGCTAATGAGTGGAGGGTGGAACCAGGTCCTGTTGCTTCCTAGGAGAGAACCCAAGCTTGGTTCAGCCCCCAGCTCTGCACCCCACCAGCTAAGGCAGATTCGTGGCTGGAGGTTGTGTGCGCTTCTTTTCTTGAAAAGCAGGTTTAAAAAAGGGGCATCTTCTAGGTAGTTTTTAACTGGATTTGCATTCATCATCACCTGAAAACTTTTCAACAGTTTTTACAACGGAAGGACAAATTCTTACACCCTAATGAACCTGACTGTGCACTTTGCATGTCCTCACTTTCCTGACGGGGAAACTGAGGCAGAAAAACAGATGCCCTTATTGCATCAGGCTCGTACTGGTCTGTGGGCCAGCAAAGCCTGCAATCGTCTCACTGAAGATGTGAAGTGAAACAGGTTCAAAGCAACTCTTAGAACTCAGGGCTTGGTTCCCTCTTTCATTTACAGCAGGTAATTCAGGAGAAACTTTACCATCTGCTGTAAATCTCGGGTTAAGGACATCTGCACCGGGACCCAGAACGTTGTGTCTCCCTGGCTCGGACTATTGGAGCAGGTCAGGTTGGTGGCAGGCGTTTTGTTCCTGCCTCTGACACTGATGTGATCGGTGGCTATGGCCACGTCACTTAATCTGCGTACCTCATTTTCTGCAGACGGAAACTGAGGATTTATAAAATGTGGATGATAATAGTCGTCAACTGCATAGCTGGACATTAATTGCAAGGCTTTCAATGAAAGGAACGCTCTGCAGGCAAAGCAACGATACTGCATGGAAGTTTCTAATAGGGCTTTGAAGAAAAAGCATCAATGTGAAATGATCTCCCAATTCTGTTCGACACGTATCCAGAGGGAATTCTTTCCCTCCTGTTAGGCAGGGCTTTGCTTCCCTCCCTGCTGTGTCTGGCCTGTGGGATGGGCAGTGTTTGTCACTGGGATCTGCAAGGAGCGTGCCAGCATGCTGCCCTGGCACGAAACGGGCTGTGAGCCCGAGGACATCCCCAGCAGCGCTCCTGACCCTATGAGACAGTCCAGAGCCCACAAGGATGAACTCTGCTCCTGGGTTGTCCCTCCCTGAGCCCTGGCTGAAATGAGTTGAGTCAATGCCAAAACTCAGGTGCAGGATTTAATCTGCAAAGAATGGAGGCCTGTGTGTTTTGGAGAAATGCAATCCTCTGTGCTATTTACTTCCCGTCCCAGGGAATGGGAGTGTCTGGAACAAAGTCCTGGCATCCCTGCTCTCAAAAGCGATCTTGGCAGACCTTTTCCCCTGTCACCTCTAGCAGAGCAGAGCTTGATGCCCCGTGCACTCGCTCTGTGTTTGGGGAAAATGATGACATGAGATCTGAGGCAGCCGGAGTCAGACCTCTTCCCGAGGCACCTTGCCACGGCGTTATCGCAGGAATCCTAGCCATCCCTCACTGTGGATCTTTGCCATTTGGCCGAAGAGTGCCACTGCAGAGAAGACGGGCCCCTGATCTACAGCCTGATGATCCCAGCTCCCTAGCGGGCGACAACTCTCTTCCCAGAGTCCCAGGAGCTGCTGAGATCTGTTGAACATGGTGGATGTACGCAGCACTGAGGAGCAGCAGTGTGTGCAGAGCAGGTCACAGCGCAGGGATGCGAGAGATGCTGAGACCCTGATGAGTGGCGAGTGTTACATCCTCTCGGATGCTGAGCAAATGATGGTGGGATCCTTCTGAACTGTTCTGATGAGTGCATGAACTGCAGGATCATGTTTTATAGAGGAAATTGCAGCTCTTTATTAAGTCACTGACTCATCAGATAATAGCTTTTGGGTCACACCACGTGGGCATTTAATAAATTGGGCAGGCACCAACACACAATTAGAGAAGTGTGTTGGGAAGAGGGAGAGGTGGGACAAGTAACGTTAATAATTGCTCTCTCCTGTTGACCCTTTCATCCAGGAACGGCCAAAAGTTTTGTAAACAGTAATTAATAGGGCCTCACAACCTTTGCTGGAAGTTGCTAAGGTTAATTATATTGCCACGATCCCAACCTGGAACCTCAAATGCAGACTGGGAAAGAAGAGGTCAGACTCATTAGTATCTCCTCTGGCTTTTAACCAAGGACATAATTTTCAGTCTGTTCTGGTTTCTGGTCAGATAGAGCCAAAACCAAAGTCATGTGAAGGAGGGGAGGCAGAAGACCCTTCCTCCCTACCAATCCTATGGGCTTTGCAGCCTGCTGGGATCTGAATTGCAGGAGAGGAGGCTGGGGATCTACAGTGCTCCCAGCCCAAGCCCTGGGGAAGTCTCCAGCCTGAAGCCTGCCTGGACATCTCATCTCTGACCACCTCTGTGCTACGGGTGGAGAAATGAGGATCCACCAGGTCCTGGGGAGAGCAGGAACATGGCTGCAAGGATCCTGCATTTCTTGTCTCACATTTTGTTCCAGAAAGATTAAGGGATCATTTGCATCCCTTGCTCCAGCTTGCCTGGATTTGCCCCTTCACCAAGTAAGTTGGAGGCTCTTAACTTAGCAGCATTTAGCCTTGTACCTGCAAGCACATTCGTACATTGTCACCGTTAAAGGGGTCTTAAATCTTGACTGTTGGCTTCCTCAGGCAAACCATTTCCCCTCTGAGCTGCTGTGAGGACCTACCCAGCATCAGCAGCTGGGCTTACATGCGCTCTGAACTTTCCTCAGACAGGCACTCTGTCAGGCGGACTTTGCTTTTCTCTCTGTGACATAGCAACCTTCGTGTTGTGATTTGGTGTTTGGCGTCTGAGAGCATTTCAGAGCAAATATCTTCAACAACGGCTGGGAACAAGGGTCAATGTGCAGGATACAATACTGAAACCAAGAGAGCTATTGCTCTTCCAAACCTGTGCTCCATCACAACCGGATGAAGAGCTCTGCTGTTTCCCAGCGTGACGGGACAAGTTGGCCACAGGAGACAGCTGAGCTGGGGCTGGGCATCAGGGTAAACTTGAGATGATATGGCTGAAATGTCTAGTAGCACTTTTTTCCTTTTTCATCACTGAATGATCCACGTGATAAAAACGTACATGAGTATTAGGAAAAGCACTGCTAGTATGCAGAAATGGTGGTCTGGGCAGGTGGGAGCATAGCCTGCCCTTCCAGTGCACAGGAACTGCTGAAGGGCTTCTTCTCACCAAATCTGGGCACAGGAGCTGAAGATCTGACCAGGTATCTCCGGAGGATGGCCCAAGGGGCATGGCAGGAAGGATGGGACACAAGATCAACCTACTGTAGCACGACATCTGATGGAGGGTCAGCTGGCCTGTCCCTCTCTGTGCTCTCTTGGCTTCCTCAGCCCAACTGTTTCACCTCCAAGCTGCCACAAGGACCTCAAGCCTCAGCTTAAATCTCAGAGTGCAGCGGAGCATGTTCTACCTCAGAGTCCCTGTAACCAGGGGTGCCTACACCAACAGTTACCTTCGCTCAGCTGTATGTGATTGCAGGTTCTGCTGTAGTAACCAGAGTCCTTGTATGTGGAGTGGAGGGCCTGGTAGAGCCCCATTTGTCAAACCCTTAATAACTTCTGCTGCTCCCAGACTTCCCCTCCCGCCCCAAGACTGCAGGCTTGAAGCACACGCCCAGCATCCAGGCTGGATGTGTCACTCCTCTACGTTTTCTAGGGCAACGTAAAGACTTGCTCAAGTCACTGACGACGTGTGGCAGAGCGTCACCCATATTTCTTGGCTTTCCAGGCTCCTCTTTAACAATCATATTTCCTGCCCTCAGTGCCTCTTCAGGTAGGCTCTGTCTGATGCCAATTCACTCCAAGGCAACTAAATGTTATAGAGCTGATGAAGGATTTCTCCCCCCTCCCTGATGCCACGTGACGAAGATAGCAACATAGGCCACAGTCGCATCCAGGAGGATTGGAGATGATCCAAGCGGAGGTGGGGATGGTGGAGGCACCCAGGCCAGCAGCTGCCTGACTCAGCCACCTGGCCCCACTGAGCAGGAAGAGGACAGTAGAAAGGATGAGTCAGGAGATGCCATTTGTGTGGGGGAAGGTGGGAAGCAATGAGTAGGCAAAGCCAGGCAGGAGCTGCAAACTTTGTCAGAGGCAGCTGGAAAGACCCAGAGATGAGGCATTCTTAGTAATGGGAAAGTTCTTCCCATTCTGCATCCCATGAGCTCGGTCCTTTGCAATAATTCAGCCCTCTGTTTCCCTACAGTGTGAAAGCAGCCCACTGCAAAGCCTTTTGGCATGGAAAACATCATGGGTAAAGATTACCTCATTGTTTGCAAGAGAGAGGGGAAGTGGTGGCCAGTGCCTGAAGATGGCCCCTGCCTCGGAGCAGGCCTACACACGCCTGGCAGCCAGCTCAGCTCACCTCCTGCATCCCTGAGAGCAGAGCCTGGCCATCCCTGCTAGCCCATGTACCCAGCTGGTTCAGACATGTTCAGAGATCAGGTTTCCTGCCTCAACATGGACCCTTTGAGAACCCTCCCTGCTCATTCAGATGCATGGCCCTCTGGCTACCAGATCTTGGAGGGACTGCGATTCTAATCTGGCTCTGGATGAAGGCTTCTCATCTTTCCCACCAGGATCCGAAGGCCCTCTGTGAGCTCCAGCACTTGCCCTGCCGACCAGGAGGGGCACGTGGTGACGGTCCAGTGGCCTCGGGAGCTAGGCAGCTTGGACCCGTGTCTGCCATGCTGTGGCTGTGTCCCAGCCTGGGAGAGGAGACCGCCGAGCTGAGCTGCCCAACCTGCCCATCTGCTCTTCCTGCTTCCCTGCAACCCCAATGGAGGGAGGGGAGAGGCAGTTCTCTCCCATTTCACTGCTGGACCATCTCCTGGGATGGGATGCTCCCTCCCCCAAGGCTGAATTTCTCTAGGGACCGAACAGACAGAGCTTGCTGGTCATCAACCAACACCATGAAACCAGCAGAAACCAACCCCTCATCCAATTCTCACCTGGCACTGGGTCACTGGGAATGGCCTTTGCCCACCACAGCTGGCCTTCTATGTATGTGGTCCTCTCCTATCTTGTCCCCTCCTTCCCCCATCCTCATGCCATGACATCATCGCTGACATGATCGCTGAGCCTCCCCAGATCTCTGCTCCTTGGTTTGCTGCCGCAGCGAGGACAAGTCTCCAAATCACAACCCAAAGAGGGTTGACAGCTGTTAGCTGTGGTTTTCCCTCAGTATCTCCCCAGGCTTATGCTGCACATTGGCTTATCTTTTCTCTCTCAAAGCCAGCATGAAGCTGACTTGGAGCAATATGGCAATCTCAGAGCAAACTTGACCCTCATATAAGTCAGCGCAAGACCTGTGGCTTTCACTGCTTTGCCCTAGGGCTGAACTTGGCTCCTCCACTTACCGCGTGTTGCCACGCGCAGTTACACCACTGTGCTCTGGAAATAATGTTTGGCGGGTAGCTGGGACCTTGGACTTGGAGCTGTGAAGCAGCTCAAACGATTTTTCTCCCATTCTTTTCCTCAGAACTACATAGGGACCCTGGGACTAGCTCAGCTACGGTAGCAGTCATGGAAAGGTCACACTGTTCCCAGGGCGTGTTAGACCAGGCTAACAGCATCTTCAGCAAAAACTGATCCCAGATTATTGATTACTCTGAATTAGCAATGAAACCGGAATGATTTACCCTGATGCCTTTGCTTGGGCAGAGGTTCCCAGAGGACAAGTATTGCCTGGCTGAGCAAGACTTTAGGATGCAACATCGACGGAACAACCCAGACCGACTCCTGCCCCAGTACCCGAGGAGCGCCTCACCTTCTGAGCCTGGCAGATCATCTTCCTCACCACCTCCTTGATGTGAGCCTGCCCTTCGATGGGCGGCTGCATGTACACCGTGGCGCGGGTGACCCCACGGTAGGCGATGGTCTCGGGCCAGCTGAGGTCCAGCTGGGGGATGGACCGATCAGATCTTTGTGGCCAGTACTCCAGGGATGGGGCCACATCCTGCTCATCCCCTTGGCTGTTGTGGTCGCCTTCACTGTCCCCCGTGCTGCTGCCATGGCGTGGGATGTATTCAGAGCCTGGGTCGTATGTCTCGAGCGTATCCAGGATCTTCTTTAGCTCCAGCTCAGAGAGGAAGTCTCTGATATTCTCTTTCTTCAGGACTTCGTAAAAGGCGTCTGGCCCCTGGGAGGCCAGTGCCTCCAAGGCAAGGCGTTGCTCCTCGCTATAGAAGAATTCAGGCTTGGACTCACTAGACCTCCAGTTAACGTGGCTGTCGTCCAGACACTGCACCTGGGAGAAAGCCATGCTGACTGCAGACACTGATACGCGCTCCGAAGGGAGCTTTGTATGCCGAGTAAGCACCAGCTGCTGACAATAAATAAGAAATTAATTATTTCCCAGTCTTTAAATATATGATTGTTTTGTTTCTCCCTCCCCGAGTTCAGTGCACAGCTGTAGAAACGTGCCTCTCCGTTCTCCCACTCGCTTGGCAGAGCGGTCCTGGGACTCCGGACCTTTTCTCCTCCAGCAGGAGGAGTCGGCTCCTCGTTCGCTCCTAAGTGTCTGAGCAGCGATCAGGGCCTCCGTGCGAGGCAAACCCCAGGGAAAGCCGTTGCTCCCTGCACCTGGGTCGGTACCACGGGGGGGGGAAATGAGCTTTCTCACACCTAGGCATGCATGGACTCTTTAGGGGTGATCCAGCCTGGTAAGTCTTCTACCGTCAGGTCCACACTGGTCTCATCCTCCTCTCTGTCAGCAGAGAAACAGTATAGAATAAAATAAAATAAAACACTATGGAAAACGAAAAATAACTGCTTTAAAAAAGGCCCAGGAAAGCAGGATTTCTCAGCCCAAATGTTGTCTCCGGGTATCGATCCTGGAGAACTGGGTCAGCCGGTTGGCTTCTCCGCAGCAAACTTCTCCGCCAGCCTCTTTGGCATCTCCCTGGCCGGCCACGCGATTTTTTTCGGGCTCCTGCCCGTGCGCAGTGCCGAGACGGACAGGTAACAGCAAGAAGTGAAAAGAGGAAAAGCAAAAGAGTGAATCATCGCTCCGCCCTGCCCCCCCTGCCGTCACATGCTGCCTTC